CACCCTAAATTGATAAATTTAGATTCATGTTTTGAGGATATTATTGAAACTCTTACGGATAACCCTTCATCTTCTGTTAATTTTGTCGAGGGAAACTTTCAACAGCCTACTGAGGTGGATCAATTCCCTAATCAGATGGTGAGAAGATCCATGAGAGATTATTCTATCTCCTTTGAGAAGCGTCCTATTGCAAGAGTGAATGCCCACATTAATAATGAAATAAATAATGCATTGTTAGGTATTTACCTATCTTTTATGGTTTGCGTAGGGAGGAGCTATATAATCACCTTGAAGAATTTTCTTCTAAGTGTGAATTTAATTGAATCGAAGGTGTTTGAGTAGAAACCATAAAAATGAATCATCACTTTTGATTTGTGGAATGAAATTGAAAATTTTTTTTTGAAGAAGTTTTATTCTCTTGGAAAGACTAACACTTTCAGGAAGATGATCAGAAAATTCTTTCATATCAACTAATGTTTCAAAATATTTCTCAAAGAAGATAATTTTTAATGAATTATATAATAATAAATAGAAATAAAATATATTTAAAATTCACAAAAAAGAGAAGTAAGGGTGTGGACATTAGTATGATGTCAACACCCGGTGAACACGAATTAGGTAAAAACAGAGTTCTACCTTATGATTCTTACGTAAGTGATTACAGACGATTTAATTGATCAAAATAAAATTTGTAAAAGCCAAAAGAATTAAATTAAATGAAGAATAATTTTGTAAATTTAAATCATAAAATTATCACTAAATGAAGCAAAAATTAAGTTGAAAGTAAAAAAATAGAGTTTCAACGTCACGAGGACGATGCAACAGCAATGCACCGGAATCTGGAGTGTTCAGGAAGATTGTTATGTAGTGTCTACGACTTTGAAGGCTCTCCTTATACAAAGATGACGTGGGCAATCTCTAGATCTTCTTATAAAGTCTAGAGATCAATGAAATGAATATTTAGCAGCCGTCACCCGATGGAGTAAAAAAATGGTGACTTTGCAGCTCTCTAGCAACTGTCACCTGATGAAAAAAAGCTAGATAGAGGTGGGGCGCATGTCAAGGAGCTTCATCCTCAAGTCCGTGCAACAAAAGAAGGCTCTTCATTACATCTAGTATGCTCTCAAGAGGTGGTGACTCGTCTCCCAACAGATCATCTTCTTCTCGACGACGACTTGTTCATCGATCAATCGGAGATAAGTTACTTGATAGATTTGTGATCCTTTTATTATGAATTGTTCAATAATTTTAGTAACAATACTCCGCGAATCATGTTGACAAGATTTTTGCTGATGATCAAACAATTCTGACAGCTTAATCCTTTAGCTGCGATTTGCATGAAAGTCATAACTTAATCAAATAAAAATACAAATTTTGGCTCTCGTAGGATTTAAACCCACACTTGTCATCCGCCTGCATGAGAGAGAGAGAATAAGTTCTCGAATACCCTTATATAGTGATGTCATCATGGTATCTTGCTGTTATAAAGGAGAAGTATTTTAGGTATTAAAATCTTTGAAAACATTCTAGGGAAGGTATGACTACCAATTTAGTCTCACATCGGCTATACGCTGAATGTGAAGACACATGTATGATAATACAAGATTTGGGAATCAATGAATCCCTTTCTCGTGTGTGTGTGACCACTCCTTACCTCACAACTGACAGGCCATCAATGACATGGAAGGGGAGTGACACACACATGCCCCCATCAGTCTATAGCCGCTTGAGCCCCTACTCGTGGCTCTACCTTGACTACGCTTCCAACCCCCTTGTGGGTTTGATTGGTTGGCAGGTCCCCCCTTTTTCTATATTTTTATTTTAATTTCTTTTTCTTTATTTATCTCAAAAACATGATTATTAAAATTATATAAATTTGTATAAAATCACATATTAGCCAAAAAATCACATTAACCAACTAAAAACTACTTTTCACAAATTAACATAATTATAAATCTATTTATTCATGAGTTAAGGCTAAAACTATATTATTTATTAATTATTTACTCATGATAATGAAGACTTATCACCCCTTAATAGAACTTGTATCATGATAGGCCTCCTCTATTAGAGGCCATTGATGCATATGAGACTTGTATAATGAAAGTACCCAGTCACTAATTCAATAGCTTCTTGGACTAAAAAGCCCATGTTGTATCATCTTCCTCTATTAGCACAATTGTAAACTGACATGACTTAGTCTTTGTATATTAAATCACGCAAATCTAAAATTTATAAAACTAGAAAATTCGATAAAATTTCCCAAAAAAGTAGTAATTTTCCAGGTCGATCACAAAGATGTAATATAATATCTGGTAATTATTCAGAATTTTTCTCAATGAATACGATTTTCTATAAATTTTATACTAGGAAATGAAAAAATATATATTTAAAATTCACAAAAAAGGGAAATAAGGGTGCGGACGTCAGGATGACGTTAGTGCCTGGCGAATGCGAATCGGGCAAAAATAGAGTTCTGCCCGGTGATTCTTACGTAAGCAATTACAGATGATTTAATTAATCAAATCAAGATCTATAAAAGCCGGAAGAATCGTAATTAAACGAAGTATATTTTGGTCAATTAAAATCACACAAATTATCACTAAATGAAGCGTAAAGTAAGTTGAAAGCAAGAAAACAGAGTTCCGGCGTCGCGACAGCAATGCGTCGGCGATGCACTAGAATCTTGAGCATTTGGGAGGATCATCGTGTAGTGTCCACGGCCTCGAAGGCTCTCCTTGCGAAGTCTAGAGATTAATGAAATGGGTCGTCGAATCATCTCCGGCGGCTGTCACTTGGCGGAGCAGAAAAACGGTGACTTTGCGGCTCTCCGGCGACTGTCACCCGATGGAGAGGAGCTGGATGGAGGTGGGGCGCATGTTAGGGAGACTTCATCCTCAAGTCCGCGCAGCAAGAGGAGGCTCTTCATCGCATCCGGTACGCTCTCAGGAGGTGGTGACTCGTCTACCGGCGGATCGTCCTCTTCCTGATGACGGCTTATTCATCGATCAATCAAAGATACTTTACTTGATGGATTTGTGATCCTTCTATCGTGAATCATTCAGCAATTTTAGTAACAATGCTCCGCGAATCATGTTGACAAGATTTTCGCCGATGATTTAGAAATTCTGGTTGCTTAATCCTTCACCGATGATCTGTAGGAAAGTCGTGATAATCAAATAAAAAAATATGAGTTTTGGCTCTAGGAGGATTCAAACCCGCACCGGTTGCCAGCCACTTCTGAGGAAGGTGTGATGCGGGTTTAGTTCCACATCGGTTGTGTGCCGATTTTTCAGACGAATATATAGTAATGTTACATTTCTAAGCAAAGTTCCTTCTCTCGCATGTACGACTACTCCTTGCCCCACAGCTGACTGGCCACCGGTGACGTGAAAGGGGAGTGGCACACACGTGCCCCTATCAGTCCAAGCCACTCGAGCCCCTACTCGCGGCTATTCCCTGACTGAGCTTCTGACCCGCTTGCAGGCCCGGCTGGCCGACGGGTTCCCCTCATTTTGTCTTATTTTTATTTTTATTTATTTTTCTTTATTTATCTCAAAAGTAAGATTGTAAAAATCATATAAATTCATATAAAATTATATAATTACCTAAAAATTCACATTAATCAATTGAAAACTACTTTTCACACTTTAACATAAATATAAGTCTATTTATCATGAGTTAAGGCTAAAACTATATTATTTACTAATTATTAACTCATGATAATGAAGGCTTATCATGAACTCTGTAGCTTGATTCTATTTCATGTATATCATGTGCTATTGGAGACTTCTCTACTTAGAAGCTTATTCTATATCTATCTATAATTTACCATGGTCATTTGACAATTATATAAGTCTGGTGGTCAATCCTTATGTGTTCTTGAGAAGGCAGCTAAGATTGGTTTGTGATCACAATAATATTTGGATGGTTAAGATATAAACCTTTTTTATCACCTTTTTAATGCTGTCTACTAATATTGGTATTCTTTTTTTTTTAATTTTTTACCCATGATAGATGGGTATTTTGATTAATAAATGATTAACGCAAAATATTATTTATATATCTAGAAGATGGGTGGCTTGGCAAATTGTTGGTATTATTCACTCCCCCAAGTGGGTCCTCAAATCAATATCCTCCATTAATATGTGGTTCTCTTACAAGATCAATGCTTTTATCATCATCTAGATTGGTACGTTATATAGCTCATTTTTTTCCTAAGATTATGATTTATTATTCTCATGGAAGATCTTGTTTACTCGGCATCGACTATAAATAGATTCATATAAGTCCAACCTTAACAGAAATATAGTAATTAGATGTGTTATCATAGTTCCTATGCGAGGGTAAATATGGTGAGAACTTACCAAAAATAAGCCTAGTAAGGTAGTAAGTTTATCACAAGAGCTTGTTGAACCAATACATTGATTACATCGACATGAAATAAGTGAGTTAGTTGTGGTATTGAACAGCCTCCTCATACGTGATATTGATCTAAATTTCATTCTGTGCCAAATTTTCTTAGCCAATAATATAAAAAATGGCCAAAATTATTAAACTTTATTCATAAATGTCCCAGCTCTATCCTATCTGCAGTAAGAATTATATTTTTCCCTACAAAAAATTGCATCTATTAGTTTTAGTTTTTCCTATTTCCTTAAAAATCCTGCTTCTGAAAAATTGGTATGCCCCGTCATCAAAAAATACAAGTTTTGAAGCCATTTCCGTCTAGAGCGATGCAGGGTAATGGGTTCTGCATGTAGAGAGAGAAAGATCGTCTTCCCGTTCGTCTCCTCCAGTCGCCTTCTTGTTCTTCTTCTCCACTCTCTAAGCAGTGTAGGGCTATGGCATCTCCGTGTTAAAAAAAAAAGAAAAAAAAAATCCAGTTTGCAGAGCTTCGGAGTGAGAATCTGGAGGAGCGAGAAAGGCCCTAGCTGGCAATTCGACCAAACTCATCGTAGAAGAGAAAGCAACAAGGTGCGTAAAACCCTAGCTCGCCATCAGAAGAAGAAGAGGCCATCCACGGTCAACAACAACACGGCCATCACCGTGAGCGAAACCACGACAGAGAGGCCGCAATGGCCCCGACCTGCATCTGCTCTCGGTATGTCGGTGGGTAGAGCGCACTCCTCGCCATTGAAGTAAACCCTAGAAGGGAACCCATCTCCGGCCTCTATGTCTATCCCGGGGGTGAGCTTCTTGGTGAAAGAGATCACCGATTGCTGCTTCCCGGGCACTCTCGACCCACCGGACTGGTCCTTGTCCTCTGATAATGGCATCAGATAGTTCAACCCCGGGAGCCCTTCGAAGAACAGGGTGTTGTGCAGCTCCGGCAGCTTCGTCCCGTTGAAGGAGTAGACGCGCTCGTAACCCTGGAAGGCCCGCCGGAGCTGGACGGCGGCGAACCAGTCCTTGAATGTGTACCCCTCCCAGTTGAAGATGGTGATCCTCGCCGTCCACCCATTTCTGTAGTTGGAGTAGATGTGCCAGTTGATGCTGACCCCGCAGAAATCCCCGCAGGGGAGAGGGTTTGGCACAGGCCGGTGCTTGATACTGGCCCAGGCTTTGGCCTTTGCTGTCCTGTTGTTGAACGGCACGAGGAGGGCCTCCGAGGGGAGCAGCAGCGGCGGCGCGTCGGCGTCGCAGACGAGCCCGTCGGCGCAGCCGCAGGCGCAGGTGCCGCACGGCACGACGGAGTCGTTGTAGTACGCCGAGAAGGAGACGCAGCAGCGGGAGGCCTTGGCCTTGGGGCGGGTGATGTTGCAGACCACCTGCCAGCTCGCGACGGCGGTGGAGACGGCGTCCAACCCCGAAGGGTCCGGGAACTCCATGGGGCTGACCCTTTGCGGCGGCCCGCAGAGGTAGTCTGGGTTGAGGACGCCGGCGATCTTCCAGTTCTGTGGGGGGTAGAGAGCTGTGCGGTTCATGTCCGGGGGGATCTTGAAGACGAGGAGCTGGAAGATGGCTTTGGACTTGGTGGAATTCATGGTGGGGGGGAGTAAGGAGCCGTTCTTGCAGCAGAAGGGGATCTTTCCGATCTGGTCGTCATCGACGCGTTCTGGGGGGAGGTCGGCGATGACCGGGCGGCGCTGGCAGTTGAGGACGGCGGCGAAGTCGAGGCTCTGGTAGAAGGTGGAGGCCTCGCCGTAGATGCAGGAGGAGGCGTCCTTGAGGTGGGTGTAGGCGCCCTTCATGCTGTAGATGAACTCGCCTCGCTTCCACTCCCAGGTGAGGTTCCAGTTGTCGAGGCGGCCCAGAGGGTTCCAGTTGTCGAGGGTGACCTGGGCCAGGTACTTGCCTTCGAAGGCCTGAAGGACGTCGTAGGCGATGGTGAGGTCGCCGGCCCTCCGCGGCAGGAACTTAGTCGCCGCCATCTTGTTCGCCTTGAACTTGGGGTCCCTACTGCAGCACAGATACATCACGCTCCCTACTCGCACACAGATACGGATAGAGAGAGAGAGAGAGAGGGAGACAGAGAGTCAGTCTCACTCCCACAAGATAGATAGATAGAGAGTTAGAGAGAGAGCGAGAGATAGAGAAAGGGAGACAGACAGAGACAGAGGTGGTCTCAGTCTAGATAGATAGATAGATGGATAGAGAGAAATATATATATATATATATATATATATATATAGAGCGAGAGAGAGAGAGAGAGAGAGAGAGAGAGAGAGAGAGAGAGAGAGAGAGGAAGATGAGCTTTGCACGGACGGGGAGGAGAGAGACCGTGTCGGGTGGGTTTGGGGCAGAGGTAGCCATCGTTGAGGAGCTTGAGGGTTCTGGGCATGGGGAGGGCGGGATCTCTGAGGCCGAACTGGGTGCCCTTGAGCTGGACCTCGATCTGGATCTGGTTGATATCGCCGGCGGTGTCGATGGAGTTCTTGAGGTCGGTCTGGGGGAAGCCGGAGAGTGCAGTCCCGTTGCCGACGTGCGCAGGGAACTCGGGGCCCTCGGTGAGGACGGCGCCGGAGGCCGAGACGAGGATCTCGCCGTGCTGGAAGCCGATGAAGAGGTTCCATCCCTGAAGGTCCTGCCGGCCAGTGTTGAGCAGGGTGGCCACGGACTCGAAGGCCCACGCCTGAGCAGACGCGTTCTTGACGTGGGGGTACTCCTTGGAGCGGCGAAGGAAGGTGTAGGTGAGGAAGATGCCGTCGCAATTCTCCGCCGCGGGCGGGGTTGCCGCCTCCTCGACGAGGCCGTAGTCGTCCGCCCTGCCTGGGGACGGGGAGGCGGCTAGGAGGAAGAGGAAGAGGAGAGAGCAGAAGTGGGTTCGAGACCGCATCCTTTTTCCTCCTCCTCTGTAAGGAGAAAGCTCCTCCATGCGGGACAGCTGATGAGGGAGAATCCTCTCTCTCTCTCTCTATTCGGAGGGGAGAGGAAGCTCTCCGAATGAAAACAGCTGAGCTCCGCAGTTCTTTCTTCCCTCCCCCTTCACCCCCCCTCGTCCTCTCATTCCTTTCTATTTTTTTCCAGTTTCCTCCTCATCTCTCTCTCTCTCTCTCTCCCTCTCTCTCTCTCTCTCTCTCTCTCTCTCTCTCTCTCTCTCTCTCTCTCTCTCGGAGGCTACCAAGGATAGATAGAGAACAGCTGAGCTCCGCAGTTCCTTCTTCCCTCCCCTTTACCCTCCCATTCCTTTCTATTTTTTCCCAGTTCCTTCCTCCTCTCTCTCTCTTTTCTCTCTCGGTGGGCACCAAGGATACATAGAGACCGTGGGGAGGGAGGAGAGAAGGGAGCTGGCGACGGCTGACCAGATCAGCGGTGTGTTCGCGGCTATTTATGGACGAGAGTCGTTCGCATGCATAAAGGATACTACTTACACGTCTCTTCATTTTATGAAAAAAATAGTAATCTTTCAACATTAGCTCGAGATCTAAGCGACGTCATGCTAAAGGATACTACTATCGGTCCTTCGTTGTATTTTGACGTTCTCAACATGGTTATCTACGGATGACGCGGGCCTTCTTAAAGTATTTCAGTAAGTTCGGGCTTCAAAGGGCTTTTCGGGCCGGGCTCTGTTAAAGGTCTGAGCAGGCCCGATTTTTATTCAGGCCCACCAGGCATGCATGGGCGAGATTGTGCGTCTTTCTCTCTCTACCCACCATCTCTATCCCCTTTCGCTACATCTAAATTCAACTCTCTCTCTCTCTCTCTCTCTCACTTGCTCTCGTTGCGTGAAAACAACGAGGGCAGAGTTAAGTAAATTCTACCCTCTCCCTCTCTCGCTCTCTAGCTAGAGTGTTGGAACGTGAAGATTATTTTTACGACTGAATCAATGAGCATTAGCGGGTACAGAGAGTCTCTTTCTCTCTCAAGCCACCTCTCTGTCTCCCTCCGCACTCCACTGCAGACTCAATTAAATTCTGCCGACCCTCTCTCGCTCCCTCATCCCCAGAAACCGCGTGTCTGGATTTTGAGCACGTGATATATAATTTTAGGGCCACCTCAGAAACGACAAAAAAAAGATCTGCCCTAGATCTACCGCAATCGCGTTCACCCACTGCTGCAGTGTTATCCACAATGTCGGCTACTCAAGTCAGCAGGAGGAGAGAGAGAGACAGAGAGGGGACGCTTGCTCCCTAGATAAAGAGAGTGGCTGAGAGGAGATGTTATACAGTGACCAATGTCGGCCTGGGAAGCTCGTCGTCTTCATGGTGGGGCAACTGTCCCAGCCCCACCATTTGAAGGGACGGCGTCACCACAGGAGGGGAAGGCCAGCACAGGAGTTATGCCACCTCAACATCGTCAACATAGGATCCAAGATCCGAATTTTATTTATTATTAGGATTTTCCTTTCATTTAGTTTCCTTTAATCAATTCTTGATCCTATAAATAGGATTAGTGCTGTAATAGACGGTTTTGGTGGTGAATTTTGAAGATTTAGACATCATTTTCGGAATTTGCCCTACGGTTTTCTCTCAACTGCTGCTGCCACCACCGCTGCCGCTGAGAGGTGACCCTCCTGCGCCTGTCTGCCCATCACAAGCACACGACTGCCCCTTCCATCCACCCATGATCCACCATTCGAGAGCGAACATCCGGTTTCCCATACTGCCGATTTCACCGTCCGCCATCCGGCACACTGTTGCCTACCGTCGGCAGTAGACGACGACATTCACTTTGATGAGTGTTGACTCGTCGTGAGACCCCACTTTCAGGTCATTGGTAGGCGACACAGTCATACACCCTCAGCCGACACGCGTGTGATTCTTCCCTGCCGCACGACTGCCCATTGCCCTCTCGCGTGATGGGGAACTGCTCCTGCACCGTCATCAATTACAGATAAAAGTGTTTTGAAACAGACAATTTGGGCATTTTTTCGTTCTGTTATGTTCGTCATGTTTGTTTTTGCAGGATCAATTGCAGCCGCACATCGCTACAAGTTATAACAGTGGTAGTGCAGTCACATTTCACATCTAGCCATGTCATCGTTAGTCAATTAGATGCACTCTCTCCCTTCAAGTGATTGGCTGCCCTATATAAAGGGCTATGTGTTCAACGAACCTTACATAGTGATAGATATATTCATTCATATACATTCTTCTTCATTCCTGTTACTTCCATGAGTGTGTGTGTGTGGGGTTTTTCCTTGGAGCATTTCCAAGCTTTCAAAGCCAACAAGTGGTATTAGAGCCACTTGATTCAACAAGAACAAGAAGATGGCAAAGAAAAGAGGCGAGTACCTCCAGCGAGTGTGGGGGAGAGTTGGTGTAGTTGGCATCATCCCTTAAGCTCTCTAAGATGCTCTTTAAGACAAATTACCGCATCTGGGTGATGAATATGGAAGTGTATCTTGAATCTCGAGATCTGTGGCAGGTGATAGTTGAAGAGAATGTACCCAAGAAGAAAGATCGACTCGCATTGTCGACAATCTTTAGTGTAATTTTTGAGGAGACGATGACTGTCCTTGATGCAAAGAAGACAATAAAGGAGAATTGGGAGATTCTCCAGTCTCAGAATCTTGGCGTGGATAGAGTGATTCAATCATGGATCCAAGGCTTGAAATGTGGGTACGAAATTCTCACAATGGACAAATGATAAGTCTTCATTATCATGAGTTAATAATTAGTAAATAATATAATTTTAGCCTTAACTCATGATAAATAGACTTATATTTATGTTAAATTGTGAAAAGTAATTTTGAGTTAATTAACATGAATTTTTGGCTAATATGTGATTTTCTATGAATTTATATGATTTTTATAGTCTTATTTTTGGGATAAATGAAAAAAAAAAATAATTAAAATATAGTAAAAGGGGGGACCTGCCGGCCAGCTGGGCCCGCAAGCGAATTGGAAGCACAGTCGGGGGGAGCTGCGAGTAAGGGCTCGAGCAATTAGAACTGATGGGGGCATGTGTGTCCCACTCTCCTTCCACGTCACTAGTGGCTAGTCAACTGTGGGACAAGAAGTGGTCGTACACGTAGGAGAAAGGGACTTATTGCTTGCAAATATGATATTACTATATACTTGTTCAAAACATTGGCACACAAGCGATATGAGATTAAAACTGCGTCACACCTTCCCCTAAAAGGCTTTGAAGATTTTAATACCTAAACTACCCATTTCTTATAATAGAGATATACTATGATGATGTCACTTGTTAAGGGTATTAGAATACTTATTTCAATCTCTCTAATGTAGATGGGCAGCCGGCATGGGTTTGAATCCTTCCAAAGTCAAAACTTGTACTTTTATTTGATTGTCGTAACTTTCTTGTAGATCGTTAATGAAAGATTAAGCTATTAGAATTGTTGGATCATCATCGAAAATCTTGTCAGTGCAATTCATGGAGCATTGTTACTAAAATTACTAAATGATTCCTAGTAAAAAGATTGTGAATCCATCGAGTAAATCATCTTCGATTGATCATCAAATAAGTTGTCATCGGAAAGAGGACAATCCATGATAAGTCTTCATTATCATGAGTTACTAATTAGTAAATAATATAGTTTTAGCCTTAACTCATGATAAATAGACTTATATTTGTGTTAAATTGTGAAAAATAGTTTTTAGTTGATTAATGTGAATTTTTGGGTAATTATGTGATTTTATACGAATTATATGATTTTTATAAATTTACTTTTGAGATAAATGAAGAAAAAGAAATTAAAATAAAAATAAGACAAAATGAGAGGGATCCACCAGCCAACTGGACCCACAAGCAAGTCGGAAGCACATTTGGGGAGTAGTCGTGAGTAGGGGCTCAAGTGGCTTGGACCGATAGGGGCACATGTGTGCCACCCCCCTTCCGTGTCACTGATGGCCAGCCGGTTGTGGGGCAAGGAGTGTTTGTACATGTGTGAGAAAGGGACTTAATTGGAAATGTAATATTACTATATATTCGTCGAAAACTTCGGTGCACAACCGATGTGGGACTAAACCCACATCACCTTCCCAGAAAGGGCGGGCAATTGACGCAAGTTCGAATCTTCCCAGAGCTAAAATTCATATTTTTTATCTAATTATCGCGGCTTTCTTGTAGATCGCCGGTGAAGGATTAAACAACTAGAATCACTAGATCATCGGTGAAAATCTCATCAATGCGATTCACGGAGCATTGTTACTTAAATTGTTAAACGATTCGCGATAAAAGGATCATGAATCCATTGAGTAAGCATCTCCAATTGATCGACGAACAAGCCGTCGTCGAGAAGAGGACGATCTGTCGAGAGACGAGTCGCCACCTCCAGAGAGTGTACCAGATACGATGAAGAGCCTCCTCTTTCTGCACAGACTTGAGGATGAAGCTCCCTAACACATGCCCCACCTCCATCCGGCTCCTCTCCGTCGGGTGACAGCCGCTAGAGAGCCGCAAAGTCGTCATTTTTCTGCTTCGCCAAGTGACAGCCGCTGGAGATGATTCGACGGCCCATTTCATTGATCTCTAGACTTTGCAAAGAGATCTAGAGATTGCCCATATCGTCCTTGTCCAAGAAGAGCCTTCGAGGCTATGGACACTGCACGACGATCCTCCCGAACGCTCAAGATTCTAATGTAGCACCAATGCATCACCACCGCGATGCTGGAACTTTGTTTTCCTGGTTTCAACTTACTTTTCGCTTCATTTAGTGATAATTTTTGTGATTTAAATTTACCAAGATATGCTTCATTCAATTACGATTTTTTCGGTTTTTACAAATCTTAATTTGAATTATTAAATCATCTGTAATTGCTTATGTAAGAATCACAAGACGGAACTCTATTTCTACTCGATTTGCATTCGTCCAGCATTGATGTCATCCTAATGTCTATTGATATATTTCCTATTTATTTCCTAGTATAAAATTTATAAAAAATATTATGCTTTCAGAAAAATTTTGAATAATTACCAAATATTATATTACATCTCTTGATCGACTTAGAAAATTATCGCTATTTTTGGAAGTTTTATTGAATTATAATTGATATATTAGTTTAAAAATATTTCTAAATATCTTAAAATTCGTATTTTCTAGTTTTATAAATTTTAAACTTACGTGATTTACTACACAATGACTAAGTCACGTCAATCCACCAAGAGACAAGTCGCCACCTTGTGAGAGCGTACTGAATATGATGAAGAGCTTTCTCTTGCTATGTGGACCTGAGGATGAAGCTCCTTAACATGCATCCCACCTCTATCTAGCTCTTCTTCGTTAGGTGACAATTATTGGAGACGATTCAATGACCCATTTCATTGATCTCTAGACTTTGTAAGAAGATCTACAGATTGCCCACGTCATCCTTATCCGAAGAGAGCCTTCAAGGTTGTGAACATTGCACGACGATCCTTCCAAACGCTCAAGATTTTCGTGCATTGTTGACGCATCATTATCGCGATGCGAGAATTTTATTTTCCTACATTCAACTTAATTTTTACTTCATTTAGTAATAATTTATGTGATTTAAATTTACCAAGCTATATTTCATTCAATTATAATTCTTTTAGCTTTTACATATCTTAATTTGATCAATTAAATCATCTATAATTACTTACGTAAGAATCACTAGGTGGAACTCTATTTTAGTTTGATTCATGATCGTCGAGTGCTAACATCATCTTGACGTCCATACCCTTATATCTCTTTTTCGTGAATTTTAAATATATTTTATTTTTTATTTTGTAGTATAAAATTTATTAAAAAAATTATTCTTTGAGAAAAATTTTAAAAAATTACCTAGTATTATATTACATCATTGTGATCATTCTGAAAAATTACCTCTATTTTTGAAAGTTTTATTAAATTATAATTAATATATTTTTTCAAAAATACTTCTAAATATCTAAAAATTACTATTTTCTAGTTTTATAAATTTTAAATTTGTATGATTTACTATACATCGACTAAGTCATGTCAAATTTTGGCATCATTGTTGGGGATGTATTACATAATATTTAGTATTTTTTTATTTTTCTCTTAGTGTACACAAAAAAGTTTACTTTAGTTTTATTTTCTTCTTGCCAAAAAAATTTAAAAAAAAAAGGAAATGAAGAGAAGCAAGGCAAAGATTAGAGCATACTAAAGGAGGGTAATAATTATTAAACTTTTTCCTTGAAGTTATTGATTTTTATACATGGGAGAAGATCCTTGCATTCAAGGCTAGAAAATCCTTTCACTATTTCATTCGATACTAAAAATTTGAAAGAAAAATTAATTTGGATAAATCTTGAAGGAAGTACAGGTCAAATTAAGAATAATTCTATGGCCATAAAAAATCATTATATCCCTGATTTATTTCAAAGAGCATCTAATATTAGAGTCCCATTAACACCCACTATTAAATTCGAAATAAATCTAAAAAATTTTCAAATGCTTCTTAATTTTCATGGATTGACTTTAGAGGAACCTCATCAGTATTTAGAAAAATTTCATATGATTTGTGATTTAGTTAATCTCTCTCAAGTTACTTTAGAAATTATTAAGATGAAATTATTTTCTCATACATTTAGGGACAAAGCTAGTCATTGGCTATCTACATTAGATAAAGAATTAACTAGCTAGAAAGATATAGAACATGAATTTCTTCAAAAATTTTATCCCTTAGGAAAAACTCAAAATATGAGAAAATATATATGGAGCTTTTCTCAAAGACTAGGAGAAATTTTACATGAGACATGAGAAAAATTTAAAGATTTATTCAGAAAGTGTCTTCATCATGCTATACCCAAGTGACAGCTTAATAGAATTTTTTATGATGGATTATTAGAACACAAAAATATAGTTGATTCTATATGTGAAAGAGCTTTTATGGAGAAAATCTCTGATGAGATTTATAGTCTTTATGAGAATTTAAGTGAAAATTCTAGAAAATAAGCTTCTTTTGAATTATATGACAGGGATAAGAAGAAATAAATTTATGAATTGTATCATCAAAATAATTTTAATTTACAAAATGAGGTTAATCATATTAATCAAATATTAGAAAAACTTGATTTACTTATTGACAATATTAAAAAGCCTCTTAACTTTTAATTTAATTCAAATAGTATATGTCATATGTATGGTGAAAATGATTATTCTGAATTTAAATACTATAATTTAGATCAATCATTTCACCCTATGCAAGAATAAGTGCAAGTAGTTCATGATTTTAATAGAAATAGGGAGCCTTTTTTAAATTCTTATAATCCTAATTGGAGGAATAATTCTTCGTGGAGAAACCCAAATAATATTCAAAATCCAGAAGCACTTAGACCTAATTCAAACTCTAAATTTCGTCCAAAATAAGAAAATATATTTAAAAAAAACCAGCCCTCTCAAATCCAATCTGATAATATGAAAATGATATAGCAAATGAGTCAAATGATACAATAAACTATGAATCAAATGATGTTGCAGTAGAAACAAATTATAGAGGCTCTTGGGAATAAGAGAGAAGAGGGACAACTACCTAGTGAGCCCATAAAAAATCTAGGGAACCACCCAACAATAGGATTTCAATAAGGAAAGTTTAGTACCATGAATATAAGAAAAAACTCATGAAATGAAAATGTTAGGACATTGAATGCTGACGTGACTTAGTCATTGTATAGTAAACCACGCAAATTTAAAATTT